TTTACTGCTATTTTCGTTCAGTTACGATTTTTCCTTCCAATGGCAAGATAATTGTTCCATTCAATGTTCTAGCTTTCCTGATATATGAAAAATTTTCAGAAACTCTTGCAAATATTTGGATATTAAAAGACCCTAACGATAAGGGACTGGATCCCTAACTTCGCTCCAAAAGCTAGCTCAAAATTAGCTCATAGAGGAAGGCCTGAACCCAGCCTTATACACTACCCAGAATGTACTCCGCGGGTGATGTGGGATGCAAAACCTCAATTTTGAGTAAGCAAACTAATCATCATTTTTTCCCTCTAAACTCACCACATGCACTCTCTTTTGTTCTTTTACCTAATAGTATATAGAAATCTTGTGTTGTAATCCTAATGATCGATTAGCTTTGCTTTGTTTTTTGCAACCTGCAGTTGCCTTTGGAATCAGGAAACAACTTTATGAGGTTAAGCTTCAATTGTTTACTTGAGCTATGCTGCAAATTTGTTTCGTATATATCATGTAAAACTAATTTATTTGATAAGCTAATAGAGTGACTGAAGTTGTGAAATTGTGCCTGATACTAGTCTTTTTTGTACAGTAAAAGCAAAAAATTGTAAGGATTTTCCTGAATGGTGCTATAAAATATAAATAATTCTTGAACTCTGAAAGAGCTCAAGCTGTAAATGTAATAAGAATCTGGTGTTATTTGATACTTTTAATTTTCTTTTTCCACGTTAGCTGCAGTTTCTACTTTCCTGGCATGCTTTTGGATATGTAGTATCCTAACTATTGTTTGTTTATCATGAAATAGAGGGAAAATAGAAAAAAAAAAAAAATGAGAAAGTAAAGGAAGCTCAAAAAATGAACTAAGAAGTATTAGTGTGCACATGGAATGGAATTTAAGATAACTTTTATTAGTTTATTATGAATTATTTTTAAAAATTTAATCTAATAATTTTTTTTTCTTTTAATTCTGATTTGGTTTTACTGTATTTAGTTGTTACCTCTATAACAATTAAAAAAATTTCAAGGTCTTCATAACATATTTATTTTACAATTTATGAAATTGAAATTTGTGGTTTATCCTTATTTACCTATATTTAATTTTCGAAGCTAATTATGAACATCTGAAATTTTTAACGGGAGAGATTGCTTTCTATACAACAAGTGCTACAAAAATTTATATCAATCTAGAAGTGGAAGAAGTAAAAATAATGTATGTAAGATATTTTATATTTCTATTTTGTTTTAATCATTCATGGAAAATTTATCATCTACATCATTAAAGCTCTCTGAGACCATGATTGTATAAATGTTGTAAAATGTATTTTAACCCTTGAAAGGGGTGGTTAGTACTGCACATCTTTTATAATTTTGACATACTTTAATTTAATTTATGTCCATACACACATGGAGTCCATTGTTCTATAATGGGCATAATGAGTCTTTTCTTTTAAGTTAATTTTTATATTTAGATTTTTGAAGAATAATTATTTGTTAATTGTTTTAAAATAATGCAAAGGTGTAGAAAACACATGTTCACACTTCTATAAAAGTATGATATGATCCTTAGATTCTAAGTGATTCTGATTTTCATGTCACTAATTCTCTAATCGTTGGATCTTTAACGGTGGCTGATTTAAGAATTGCAAGACAAAATTGTTGGAACAAAACCTTGCTTAGAGGGTTGTTTCATCCTCATGAAGTTTCAAATATTATGAAAATACAACTTAGTTACGAAAATGAGAAGATCAAATTACGTGGAGTTAGTAAAAAAATGACATTTACTCAGTTAGGTCCGGTTATCATATTGCTACTCTGAGGCTTTTGACTTTGAAAGATTTCTCAGGTATGAGCTTATGAAATTTTATGTAGCAACCGTGAGTTCCTTGAAAGATTCATATTTTATCTGGTGAGCATGTCACAATAGTTTGTCGACTAAAGAAAATTTAGTGAGGAAAAGTGTTTCAATATCTGATATTTGCCCTTTTGTGATCAATAAGAAATGATTATGCATTCTCTTATTTTGTGCACTAAAGCTTCTTTATGTTGGATTACGAGTGGTCTTTAATTTGTTGCTCAACACTTTGACTTTTTTTACAATTTTTTTTTCTCTCCTTGCTCAACTCTTTTGATGAGTCTAGGATTGTTGAATTTTGTCTTATTGCTTGGAATATATGGATTTACCTTATCACTTTTGTTTGAAAAGGTATAGATAGCACACCGTATTATATTGTTACTGTTGCTCTTCGTCTCCTTCAAGAGCCGCAAATGGCACAATAGAACTTTCTGATGTTTTCAGAGGCAACAATAATATGTGTTTGGTTCAGTTAGGTGTACTCGCTCAATTTCCAGTTTTGTAAAATGCAATATAGAAGCTTCTGTGGCTGACAGTGGTGCATATTTTTGGTTTGTATGAGTTTTAAGGAATATATATACATGGTGATTTTCTTGCTGCAAGTTCTGGTTTTTATGATAGTGTTGTTACTCTAAGGATGGCAAAAGCTCTTTGTCTACAGGAAGTCTTGTCTTAGCTCATGGACCAACAATGGACAATGTTTAACTTAAATCCGATTATATACAATTGGTTCAGGCTTTCCTTGGCAGCCATACTAACTTCACATGAGTTATGACTTTGCTACCAAGAAAAAAAAAACAAAAGAGCTTATATACGTCATTTTCTCAACGTATATATGAAAATATTAAACATTAATTATTGAATATTTGACCTTTTTAATTTAATTTTTCATTTGATTTTTAATTTTTCAAATAAGTTATATAATAAAAATAATTATATTTAATTATATGTATTATTTTAATTTCCTTTTACGGTTTTAATACTTGTCATTTATTGGCAATAATAAAAAATTTACAATATACGCAATTAGTTCAATTATATTTACTATTTATAATTAGTAGTTTTATTTGATTGATATAAAATAATTAACTTATTGAGCAATAAGATAATTTCCATCTATATCTATATAAATATATAAAATTTAATCAAATTTGCTTATATATCACAATATTGAGAAACTAAATTACTTTTATGGCATTTTATTTTTTTAATATTTCAATTATTTTTATTCGATTATATAATTTGAAGAAACTAAATTATAGAACTTTTTATATTTTTTCCAATAATTAATAACTATATAATAAATTTATTGCATTAGTGGAAAACCTCTTTAATTTTTTTCTTCGTTTGCAATAATTAATAATTAATAATCTAAATAATAAATTCATGACATTAATAGTAGAACTCTTTAATTTAATTTTTAATAATTAAATAACCATATAATAAATTTCTGTGACATTTTATCATTTTGAAATTTTTTTTAATATTTTTAATTTAATTGTATCCTAATTTAAAGAAATTCTCATTCTAAAATTATAAAAAAGTTTTATATTCCTTTTTAATATTATAAAATTGTTCAATTATATTATAAATTTATTGCATTACTCACCCACTTTGTAGATTTTTTAATTCTAAAATAATAAACGCTTCATTTTCTTTTTAATAATCAACGACCCATAATATATTTATTTTTTAAAAATATTTAGAACTCTTCATTATTTTTTAAAAAATATTTAGAACTCATATACCGGCTCACCTAGTCTTCTTTTCCTTTATATTTTAGATCGTAATATTTTCTTTTCTCTTAATGCTTTAGAGTTCAATTGTTTATTAATAGCACGCTAAGCATAACCTAGTGGTAAATGCATATTCGATCTGACAATAGATATAATTCAAATCCCCTCCCCAATACTAACAAAAAATGTTTATTAATAATCTATAATATATTTAGTGAATTAATGATGAAACCTTTCAGTTTCATCCGAATAGTAAATTTATTATATTAATAATAAAACGCTTTAGTTTCTTTTTTTAAACAAAATTAAGATCCTCATATTTATGTTTTTATTTTTATTTTAGCTAAGAAAGTGAACTTATCATTTTTAATTTGTTAGGGCAAAATGTTTATTTTAATTTATAAAAAAAATTGTATTAACCATTTTTTTTTTTGATAGTTAAATATTAAAAAATACCTTTTTTTAAAAAGAGAAAAATTGACGCATATTATTTATTTTACCATATTAATTTATTCACATTTTTCAATCAAACTTAATTCATATTAGATGGTAAATTGAAATTATGAAATTTAATCATGCCCCTTTTTTGGCAATCACAATGTTCTCCTTCTTATTTGTCTTGATAGATTATAGATAAATAGATTGAGATGCTTACCACCTCAACCAATAAATCGATGATTTCTTTTTCAAAATTTTGCTTCTTTAAGCCACTGCTGATTTCTTTTTTTTTATCATCGGCAATTTCCTTTCGCTTTTTCTCTTGATTTTACTTAATTTTATTTTCAATACTTTAAAGATTTGTATTCATTTGGAATAAATTTTTGATTTAATCTCTCAGATTTATCATTATTAATAGATCTTGATCGTTTTACTACTCTCTCAGTAGGGTTGAATGTCTTTATACCCTCATAGTTGGATTTCATTGTGGTTCCTTTCCTTTTATGGAGTTGTTTCTCATTTTTAAAGGATTTTATATTTGTTTGTGATTTGTTCTCTTCCGACAGTTCGAAACGAACTATTCATTTTTTATTGGAGAATACTCTTGTATCAATGGAGTCTAAAAGTGTAGCCCCTTCTATATTTCAGGTTTAGTAAGGTTTTGGAAGAACAAAATTGGAGATATTACTGTAGAAAAATTTTTTTATCCTATTTGACAATAAATCAGTTTTTTTTATCGTAAAAAATTAATCTCTTTTGCCAAAATATTTCTAAATAAAAAATTTTAATTTTCTATATGTGTATATTTTATACACTCACGTTTTATTCATCGTTAATGAATTGCCATTTTTCTTAAAAAGAATTGTTGATTGTTTTTTTATTTTTTTTAAAACACTGAAAATAATAACAATTAGAAAGGAGGAGGGATACGAGTAGTTTTGTACAGTCAAACTGGCATATATGGCATATACGTGGGATCCACACGTGAAATCATAAGCTGACATGGGAAAGAGGTGCCTTTGGGATTCCTCAATAAAATTGCCGTCTATCTCTATGATTCTCCTTCAAATCTAATATATCATAAAATACCGGCGAGAGAAAGAAAACCCTAATTCGATAATTAGCTCGTTGCCATCGAAGAACAAGAAGAGAGATTTTGAGCGAGGTAGAAAGCAGCAACAATGGGAAAGAAAAAGAAGAGAGTATCGTCAAAAGTTTGGTGCTATTATTGCGATCGGGAATTTGATGACGAGAAGATTCTAGTTCAGCATCAAAAGGCAAAACACTTCAAGTGTCATGTTTGTCACAAGAAGCTCTCCACCGCCGGTGGCATGGCCATCCATGTCCTTCAGGTCCACAAAGAGAGCGTCACAAAGTATTTTCTATCTCGCTAATTCGATAAGTTTTCAATTTAGACAAAAAAAAAAAAAAAAAATTCATGACGTTTTAACATACTCTCTCAGTAGGGAGTTGAAATGTTTCTTTATACCCTCATAGTTGATTTCATTGTGGTTCCTTTTCCTTTTATGGGAGTTGTTTCTCATTAAAGGATTTATATTATTGTTTGTGATTGTTCTACTTCCGACAGTCGAAGAGAACTTATTCATTTTTATTGGGAGAATACCATCTTGTATCGAATGGAGTCTAATAAGTGTAGCCCCTTCTATATTCAGGTTTAGTAAGGATTTTGGAAAGAACAAATTGGAGATATATTGACTGTAGAAAATTTTTACCAGTTTGATCCAATATATATCAGTTTTTTATCAGTAAAAAATTAATCTCTTTTTGCCAAAATATTTCTAAATAAAAAATTTTAATTTTCTATATGTGTATATTTTATACACTCAACGTTTTATTCATCGTTAATGAATTGTCCATTTTTCTTTAAAAAAATTATGATTGTTTTTTTATTTTTGTTTAAAACCACTGAAATAATAAACAATTAGAAAGGAGGATGGGATTACGAGTTAGTTTTGTTACAGTCAAATGGCTATATGGCATATACGTGGGTCCACACGTGAAATTCATAAGCTGACATGGTGAAAAGAAGGTGCCTTTGGGATTCATAGTCTCAATATAAATTGCCGTCATATCTCTATGATTCTCCTTCATAATCTAATATATCATAAAATACGCGGCGAGAGAAAGAAAACCCTAATTCGAGATAATTAAGTCTCGTTGCCCCATACGAAAGAACAAGAAGAGAGATTTTGAGCGAGGTTTTAGAAGCACAGCAACAATGGGAAGATAAAAGAAGAGAGTATCGTTGCAAAAGTTTGGTGTATTATGTTGGCGATCGGGAATTATGACAGAGAAGATCTCGTAGTCTCAGCATGGCAAAAGCAAACCATTTCAAGTGTGCATGTTTGTCTAAGCAAGAAGCTCTCACGCCGGTAGGCATTGGCCATCCATGTCCTTTCAGGTCCACAAAGATAGAGCGTCACAAAGTATTTTTCATATCTCAGCTAATGGCGATCAAGTTTTCAATTTAAGACAAAATTGACATGGGCAAAAAAAAAAAAAAAAAAAATGCTATTTGGGTTTCGTAGTCTTGATTTGGGATTAATTATTTGTGTTTCCTTGCGAAACTAATGGTCAATTAACTGCTTTTTGCTTCTTTTCTTTTAAGAAACGATAGAAAAAGTGGAACTTTGTCTTTGTGGGAAAAGTAGTTAGTAATTACGAGGGATGGATAATAACTAGTCTCTGTGTGTACCTTGAGAGTGTCTGATTTGAGTGTACCATTGTTTGATGCAGGGTTCCCAATGCAAAACCTGGAAGAGAATCAACTGATATTGAAATATATGGAATGCAAGGAATCCCTCCTGATATATTGGCTGCACACTATGGAGAAGAAGGTAAGGAACTTTGATTCTTGTTGTTGTTGTTTTCAGTTTTCAGTTAAGTTCTATTGTGTGTGATTGTTCGTGTAAATTTTAGCATCATTGTGTTATTCAATAAGTTGCTGTTGTTCCTACCTTTTCCCTCTAGAGATGTGTGATTTTTGGTGGAATTCGAGATTTGGGATTATATTCCTTGTTATTATCCTCCTCCCTTTATTTTTTTTAGTCTAGTTTACCATTGGCATTCATGGATTGCAAGGTCAAGAGAATGTGACATGGGATGTGGATTGCTCCTATCTCCAATTGGAGTTAGAACGGGCTCACTCTTCTAAACTTGTGAGTCAGTTCAGTTTTAGTCAGTACAAGCAAGATTACGTTAATATACTTATATTTACTTCTTTTCCTTTTCAATTTCGTTTGAAAATCTTGTAAATTGGTACTTATAGCTTTTAGCTGTTATTATTCTCTGCTGTTCTAGGATATATTTTGGGTGTGGGTAGTATTTTTAATGGATTGATCTGTAGTTTTTGGAATATTCAGGTAGATATTCTGTGATGTGAGCCCATTTATGTTGAATCAGGATCTGAGTTTCACAACTTTGTAGAGCCCAACTTGTTCTACAGTTTAAACTAGCTGTCTGGAGTCAAACCTCGTTTTGTTTGTGAGATGATAGGTATAGAATAATTAGAGATATAGAATACTTTTTATCCTTGTTATTTCTTTAAATCTTAAGGCCGTTTGTTTCCGGAAAATAACTTGTTGGAAAATTACTTATTGGAAAATGCTTTTCCATGAAAAATATTTTTCAGGAAAATATATTATTTTCCAACATTTGGCTATCACATGAATCATCACTTGGAAAATGTTTTTGGCCTTTGATACAACATTAAAAAAAATTAATTTTCCACCATATAAATAATGTATGTGCACCTATTATATTTCACATAAATGTAATAAATATTTCGAAATTCATAACAAAATCAAATTAACAAGTGAAAACTTTTAATTTAAGTGACAAATGGCATTGCCAATTCACAGGATTTCTGTTTGGTTCTCTTTTAAGTAATTTCACAAGCATACGTGCTCAATAGTTCCTACACTACTATAATCTCTTTAAGAGAAATGGATTGAATTTTATGATTAATTTGAAGAAAACACCTTGGTTTTTTACTTTACAATGAAGAAATTTTTTTGCAAAAAATGCAAATCGAAGAGAATATATAGTAATTGATAAAGAAAGAATTGGGTTTTCCGATTTGGTTACCTCGATTCTTCCTTTAAGCCACTTGGTAATCAAGAAAGAGAAGAGACAATGAAGCAACGGTTTTTCCAATCATGTGGTCATGTGTTATTCTTGCTTGGTAAGTGGTATTACATAGTTATTAAAGGCGTGCTTGAGGCGTGAGGCTCAAGGGCTTGTGCCTCAACAGTCCTTGCTATTGCCTCTGGGTCTGTGCCTACTAAGGCTCAAGAGAGGCGCGCCTCTCTAATTTTTTTTTTTTTTTTGAAGTCGCCTAGGTTTTTCTTTCAATATAAAGCTTTCTAGCTAGCATCTGCTCAGGCAAAATAAATAAATAAATAAATAAATAAAAGAAATAAAATTCAACAAAAAAACCAGTGATGTGCTATGTGATCTAGCTTCTACTCCTTCATCTAGCACTCACCTGGTGCAATCTAGTTTTTAGCCAATAGCCATTAAGATATGCCTTTTTCAATTTCTCTTCCTATATTTGCCTTTTATTTTATTTTATTTTTCCAGTTTCTTGATTCTACTCTTTTCTATCTTAACTCTAATATCTTCATATATAACTTGTCGTGTTGCTATTTTGTTTTTTCTGATTTATGTGTGTTTCTTTCCATGTTTTTCTTTTTTTTTTTTTTTTTTCCATTTTTTTTTTTTTTTTTTTTTTTTCCATTTTTTATATCTTAAAACATAATTTTCAGATTTATGTGTTTAATTTTTTTTTGCGTCTCACTTCACTCAAGCTCGCACCTTCGCCTGGAAGCTAGCGCCTAGGCTCTAGTAGCCCTTTGTGCCTATTGAGCCTTGTGCCTTTAGTTACCACGAGTGATAAATGTCCATTGACAAGCAATGAGCAGAGATATATGTTTGTCTCTGTTATTTATTTATTTATTTTTTCTGTGTACGTAGATACGGAAGTTTTAAACAAGTTAGGGAAAATGTTTTCCCATCTAAAAAAAGGAAGTCATTTTCCATAACTGGTAACTTATTTTCCATTGATTTATTTTCATTTAGTGCCCCAAACAGCAGAAAATTTTGGAGAATATTTTCGTGCAAGTTATTTTACATTAAAAAATAGAGCCTAAGTGTGACTGTGGTAAGTCTTTCGTGTAAGTTTAGAAGGTCATTTTAAAACCCATTTAGTTATGCTAACAGTGGCTTTGGTTGCCGACCTTTTTGCAAATAAAATTGGGAATTGGTTTTATTTCCTCCTCTTTATTCTTTATTCTTTTGGTTGCTGCTTTTTCAACCATGGGCTTAAGGAATTTTAACTGTCTTTTCTAAAAAATTCTAGAAAACTGATCTACAGTCAAATCCACATCTTAAGTGTGAGTATGTTTTAATCATTTAATATTTGCTGCCTTGAAGACTAAGTACTACCAAATGTCATCAATTTTTAAATATTGAAAAAAAAAACCAAAATATGCAATATGTAATTTTTTAGGTCAAGTAATTTAATGTTGAATCCATTTATCAAACTCCAAATCGTTTTAGTTCTTAAATCTAATCAATAATCAAGGTTAGCCGAAAATTATACATACAGGACATCATTTCCACAAATTAGTTCGAACACTAGGGAAAAAAAATTTTAAAAAATACAGGCGTGTCAGGGCCTGGTCGTACCAGGTGCGTAGCCAGATTGGGCCTGCATTGAGGCACCTACACTGCACCTTGGTGCGCCTCGGGCCTAGGCATGCTTTTAACAACACTGACAGAACTTATAGAAATTTGAAGTTTCATGAGGAGCAGTGTTGCAAAAGCACTAGGCGCCCTTGAGGCGACAAGGTCCTCCATTGCTCGAGGCGCTAGGCACTCGCCTAAGTGGTGTGAGGATTAAAAAATTCTAGATAACTCAAAATTTAGAAATCTATACTGGTTCCAAAAAAGCATTAAATAATTTAAAATTCTAGATGCCTTGTTAAAGAAATCAAAAGTTCAAAACTATATCATGCATTTAGAATTAGAATTATGCATCCAAAGATTAATTTCAAAAACCACTTTAAATAATTTATAATTCTAGATAAATAAGAATCAAAACTATATCATGTAACTTAAAATCTTAGTTTGTAAGTATTTTCTTCTTTATGTTGAGTCTGCTATGTCCTTTCATGTAGCAGAAACCTACATGGTTTCCTTTTCTTTTATTAGATTTTATTCACCTAAATCTTTGATTGGCTGTCAACCTTCCCAATTTGAAGCCAGTTTCCCTTTCTTCTTATTTTTCCATATTTGTTATACTTTTTTTTAATGGTTATATTAGATGATTTTTTATTTAATGGCTGTCAAAGTTTCAAATTTTCAGCCACTTTCTTTATTTTTTTTCTCCATATTTGTGTTAAACTTTGACCTAATCATTAAATGGCTGTCGAACTTTATATATTCCATCCGTTTTTAGCTTTTTTTTTCCCCATATTTATATTTCTATTACATTATATTAAATGTTAAACTAAGATTTTAATATCTATACGGGAAGTAGCAATTTCTATTTGAGGTGCTCGCCTGAACCTTGCTGCGCCTTGGCGCCTAGGAACGCCGTTAATATCCCCTCGATGAAGGTGTACCAGGCGCCTACTGCTCGCCTCACTTTGCCTCACCTTAGTGCCTAGGTGAGCCCCTGGAGTGCCTGGTGACAACACTGATGAAGAGAGGATTCTCTTTAAACTTCCATTGTAACTTCAATTCAGGATAGAAAGTTAGTGAGGCACTGTTAAATAGATAAAGTTGATTTTGGATTGCCAAAGCACGCTTTCTGCTTAAGCTTGACTTAAAATTTGTGTGTGGACTTCCTAAGTCAAATGGTTTCGAAATATCTAGGTGATTCAATCTTTGAATTTGGTTTATGCTTTTTGAAGTAACTATTGTGATGGCATCACCTCATGGTTTAGAATTTTGTCTTTGAGTCCTCATAGGCATATGCCTTTTACCTTGGGCAGTCGCTTGTTCAGGCTATTTAAAGATATTTTTAATGATAATAGTTAGAGCTTGGATTGCTGAAGCAAAAATTTCTTCTTCAAGCTTGATGTGGGCCTTGTATGGACTTGATATGCGAGTGAGTAGTTGGAATGACTGATTCTGCTTTTACTTTTGGTTCACTGTTATCAAAAGCTAAATACACTGTTCCATTATCTCATGTGCTTAAGGTATCTTTTGAGAGCTCCTCGGCATTCTGGTTCACAAAAGTACTTGCAGGGTTGTGTTTCTTAACTTAAGCACACACTTTCATCATTTCTTTGATATTTTTTCTGACTTAATAGCTGAGATATGCTAATTAAGATGTATATTGATGTACCATGCGGGAGCTTATTTTAAACCACAGATGGTCAATATTAAAGTGAATTCACGTTAAGCAAGATACAAACACTAAATATACAGGGCGCATGGATGTTCAAATTCATTAGTTTAATTTCTCACCAGCAATGTGGTTTGTCATTCTCGTAGCTGAGTTGTACTTATTATATCATTTAAGGGGAGAGATGAAGACAGGAAGAAGGAAGTAGTTAGTAGTTACCAACATTGGATTTGTTTTTAATTTTCTCATTCAGTCTGGTTCTGTTTGAGAAAGTAAAACCAAATTACTTTGAGCTTGGTTTTGTTTAGGCAGACAATCTGCTAGGAGTTTTGTTGACATTATCCATTCATTTAATGGGAGAACTTGAGAAGACTTTGTAAGTGGAGGTTAGATGTCCCAGGTAATAAGGTGAAATTTCAATTCATTGATGTCATATTTGGGTGAGTTAATTCTGAAGTGATGGAATGAGGGGAGTTCTGTTATTGCAGTGACATTTTTATTAAGAACCTTGCCAGGTCTTAAGTAGTAAAATGAAAATATGTTGTCTAGTTGGTTCTTGTTTGATGTTGGCATGCTATGCAACCCTAATGTGAGTTCCACATCTTAGTGATTGGATTTGCATTTATTTTGATGCTAAAGAGGTTTGATAACCCTTTCCTTCCATATTTTATATAAACCTATTCTCTTGCTTGGAGCTAGTCTTTATCTGTGGTCTTATAACAAAAGTTATTGACAGTAGCTAAATAGTGGAATTTGTGTGCAAGTATTGCCTGCAAAAATCTTTGAATGCATTATAATTTGTGCATATAAACTCATTCCTTTCTGACAAATATGTATGTTGTTGCAGAAGAAGAGGCTCCGTCAAAAGTTGCCAAACCTGATGTTACATCTGCTCCGCTTGGTGTAATGCCAGGCCCATTAGGTGTTGGATATTCTCCACAAACTTTAGGTGCAATGCAGCCAATGTATGTTTTCATGGTTCCTTTCTGTTTCTACAATTGGAAGAGTGCTCACTTTTATGCTTAGACTTGGACAGTTAGACTTCACCATTTGCAATCCTTGATCATGGTCTCTAGTATTGCTGAATGTATAATTGAATGGGGACAGAAGTGTTAAAATACCTTAAGTTTGGGGAAGGATTTGGCCAGAGTGAAATTAATTAAATGTTGGATTAATTGATCTATACATAGATATTCAGGGTAGATTATGTAGTGGAAATAATACTTGCATCAAATTATCTAGTGCCTGAAACCCATGCGTTGATGATGCAATACTATCACATTTACATTTTCATACTTTCTGGAAAATTTAGACACCATTGGGGCAATTACTGGGGCCTGAATGTTCCATCATAATTTTCTCCATTATCTTCTGCTCAGAATCTTATGTAGCGCCTGTGGTAGAATTCTGATTTCCATCTAATTTTACGACCAGCTGATTGACCCCTTTCAGAACCTTGCTTATCTTGCCTTTACCAAATGTATTGAGGGCTCCAAGACAATAAAACCCCTTACTTTAGAATTAGATTAAACTAAAGATTGTGCAAACAGCACATTTATTTGTTTTCATGGTTGCATTTTATCTAGTGATCGGGGAAGCTTGAGCATCTTATGTGGTCTATTTTGAGGGTAAAGGGACCATGTGATCAAAGCTTTTCATTGGCAACACAACCCTGTGTGTGTAATCAACACTATAGACTGCAAACTCATTCAAATAAAGAAAGTAAGCAAAATGATTAATATATGAGTTCATGGGGCCATTTTTACCTAAATGGCTCAACTAGCTCTTTTTCTTTTTTGATAATTTTATGAATTTTAGGACTGACCAAAATAAAAGGCCCAAATGGATCCAAAACAGTGTATTTATTTGTCATTAATTAGAATTCAAATTAAATTTAAATCTCTGTTTTATTTTTTATTTTATTGTGTTGCTGTAGTTACAATTCTGCGGTGCCAGTTCCTCCTGCTGGCTGGCCTGTTCCTCCTCGACCCACATGGTTCCCACAATCTACTGCAGTTTCAATTCCACCTACTGCTTCAGTAGGATATGCACAACAGCCATTGTTCCCCGTGCAAAATTTGAGGCCGCCTCTGCCCCCAGCTACATCTCCTGCCCTTCAAGCTTCCCAAGTAACTCCTCCTGGAATGCCCTCTTCCACACCACCCATTCCTGTATCACAGCCATTATTTCCTGTTGTTAACAATAATTTGCCTCAAAGTTCACCATTTTCTGCACCTTTACCTTCAACCAATATACCATCAAGCTCCTCTGCAGAAGCAAAAGGTTCTGTGGATGTGCATTCAGGGGTTAATAGTTCTCTGACAACTAGCTATCACAATCCAAGTATTCCAGGTTTGTTTACTTCTTCCTTATCGATTGATTTTAGAATAGATCCAGAATAGTTTTCAGTCACTACTTGTGGTTGATTATGGACAAAACGGGTTTCAAGATTTTTATACTGGAATATTTTATTGAAATAAATTGGTGGACTTTGACTACAAGTAATAACCTTGCTTTATTTAAAATATATTTTATGGGTTTATTGTGCTTGCTATTTTTGTGTTACTGTATCTGTTATACTCATTGCTCTTTATTGGGTTTATTATGCTTGCTATTTTTTTCCCCTTTTCTTCATTTATTCTAAAAATGGTATTTTGTATGTATTAACTGCAGGTGGGACATTAGCAAATTCACATTCTTATGCCTCTGGTCCAAATACTGGTGGTCCTTCCATTGGACCGCCCCCTGTAATTGCTAACAAAGCTCCTGTGACGCAGCCTGCTGTTAATGAGGTCTATTTAGTTTGGGATGATGAGGCCATGTCCATGGTGAGTTGCTTCTGCGTTGTGGACGCATCCTTCTGGTAGTGTTGAACAATTTTAGTTATTCCTACTTAATTCTTTTTAATATTTACAGGAGGAAAGAAGAATGTCCTTGGCAAAGTATCAGGTGCATGATGAAACTAGCCAGGTAAGTTATGACTACCTCTTTAATATTTGGAGTTGGTTTGCACATCTAACCAGATGGGTAGGCTTTATGCTCCGTGTTTTCAGATACAGTTGTTTACGCATTGTTACCTATTTAGAGAGGTATTTTCTGTATAAATTTTTATTATATCTTTTCTTCATCAAGAACCCCACAATTAGCAAAAGATGCATGTCTTCAGTCACTATCTTGTGAAGTTCAGTTCTATTGATTGGTGGCATGGTATTATCTTTTTGTCTGTTATTCTCTTGTTTGCATGCCAATGCCACCTAATATGTAGTTGTAGGTTATGTTATTTATGCCGGTAGTTAGTAATTTCTGTTTTGCCAAACCTGCTGGAATCAACTTGAAGATTCTCCTTCTTAGCGTCATTCTCAGTTAAGGCATGTATGTATTTGCTTATTTGAAATTTTAATGTGTTATTTACTGGCCCTATGCTTTGACTCCGAAGTGTTGGGGTTTGGGTGGAACAAGATGATACCCAACAGATTTTTGCTCATTCGTAGCATCATTTCAATTTATTTTTATCGTCGAACAGTGAATTCAGACTTGGCCCAGGTCAGCTTCTTTCGCAAAGTTTGGTATCTTTTGCATAAGACCAAGCTTTCATATATCTGGTTTGTCAACTGATTTCTGTTAGCAGTTCATATGTTAATCGTTTCTGTTTGTTGGTGCATGTTTCAGATGAGTTCAATTGATGCAGCCATTGACAGAAGGATACTGGAAAGCCGACTCGCAGGTCGAATGGCATTTTAGATCAACTGATGATCATGTATTAATTGCTGGATATTACAGAATTCACATTAACTGCGAGAGGGAGGGGAGTCGTGCAGAAACGTCATTGCTTGGATCCTGCAGATAACCAATCCTGTATGTTGTATTCTTTGTGAGACTGAGTTAGACGAGAGCCATTCTTTAGTTTATAACAGAAATGTTTCGATAGATGCTGGGCGATTCTGCTTTTTTTTATCTTTCTTTTTCTTTGTTAATCTATCGGAAGTATGTTAGGATATAGATTTTGAGTTTGCCTTGGCTAATGGTGTTGAATTTTTCAATTCCTTCTTTATTTGTAACTTAATTGAAGTCATTTATTTTTTTGGTGGCATCAGAATGAATTTACATTCTTCATCAAATCTTTATTATCCATCTGGAAAAGCTGAAAAGAATTGAATTGAAAAACCAAGTTTATTTGGGCCATGTCGAGTATATAGAATAAACAGGGGAATATAAATTTTTTTATTCAACGAATTATTTTATTAAAAGAAAAGCTTTTTTTATATTAACCATATAATTATCTTTTATAATCTCAAAATAAACTTCAAACGGAATATGTTTATTTGCAAAATCAATAAAACTTGCAGTGAAATAATTAAATAATAAAACATAAAGCAAATGATGAGGATATGTCTGGTATTTAAGAAAAAAGCTCAAAATTTTTGTTGGGCATTTTCGATTCCAACAGTAATTTTTCTTTCCAGGAACGATGTCGTTTCATCTATGCTCTTTCCGTCTGCACATCCTCTCTTTCAATTTCTGTCTTCTCCTTCAAGCCGTCTCTTTCTCAAAACTCTCTTCTCTTCTGACTCACCAATCTCACTGAAAATCTGACAATTATTGTGATTAACGAGACTAAATAATTCATCTTCTAATATTAGGAAAAGAGAGACAGTAGATCTGAGAATTTTTATTGCTTCTCTCTCTTTCCACGCGTGCTTTCTCTTCGTCGTCGTCTACCCGTGCCCGCGACAGAGCCACCGTGGCAACCTTTCTCGACAATCTCCAGCAACCACTACGGAGGTTCGTTTCCGAACTTCCTTATTGTGTACTTATTGATGTACAATATGCAAATCATTATTCTAAGGTTCAATTACATTGGTGATTGTTTATGGTTAACAACAAATGATTATCTATCTACTGGTTTTCTTATTTATGCATTTCATTACAAAAAATTCTGTGGGAATGTTCGTGATTCTTCATTAAAATAATCATTTCGTCTATGAGGTTTTGTCATAATTATCCAATTAGTATAACTTTTTAGACAAATTCTTAAGAATCTCCTAAGGTTTCCCTCCGTCTCATCAAATAATCCCTCCGTCCATTCTCTTGTATTTTTGCCGTTAAAGTCGGGTAGAAATTAAGAAAGAGGTGAAAGAGATATTTTGAAATGCCATTGATGTCCTTAATGAAGCTAGAGACACATAAGAAACCAAAAAAAAAAAAAAAAAAAAAAAAAAAAAAAAAAAAATCGAATTTGCCCATGCAGAGACCCTTTCTTTTAATTTCTCATCCTCTTCTCTCATCATCTTTTCTTTAAAGTGGTTTCAAAACCCTCCTACCCTCTTAAAAAAAAAAAAAAAAAAAAATCGAATTTTGCCATAGCAGAGACCCTTCTTTTTAATTCTCATCCTCTCTCTCATCATCTTTCTAAAGTGGTTTCAACCCTCACTACCTCTTCTCATTTTGATTCTCAATATCTGTCTTTAAGGGTAAGCTTTGGATTGAGCGTTTTCAGTTGCCTTATTTGTAATCTCTCGTTTGATTGTGTTATTAATCATCTTTATTTATGCTTTTTGCCAATTGGTATTGCAGTTCTTGTTTTTCTTTGAATCGAGTTTTCAATTTAGATAATTGGATTTTGATTTTGTTATCAATCTTCTGTATTAATGCTTTTTGCCAATTGGGTTTTGTAGTTCTTGTTTTTTTGTGAACTGGGTTTTCAATTTGGATAATGAGGTCTTGATTCGATTTGCAGTAACTATCTGCCTTGGTTTGATGTGAAAAGAATGATAACCTTCGTCTTATAGCAAAACACATCCATATATAATTGCCTTCTCATGACTGTCCACACCAAACCACACTCCTGAGAGCAAGCCGTAGGTAATATAACATGTGATGTCAATAGTAGCCATTACCATATACTGCAAATGCACAAGTATTTCACAGTTGTCATTTTCCTCTTTCACCATTGTTTTATTTATCAGCAAAGTCTGCATCCCTCCCTGCTTGGTTTGCACGCTTCAAGAAGACCCAATGTATCACTCTCTCTCTCTCTCTCTCTTCTTTGTAAGCAAAGCATCCTTTTCTTGAACAGTCTTACAAGTCCAAACAAAGAATTTAAAAATCTTCTCCATTAACGGAAACAATCCTTGAACACCCTTTCCAGCAACACCTTTTCAAGAATTTCTTCATCACCAGTAAGGAAGAATTTCTTCAACAAATCATCCATTGATTACACACCGGGCATGGTGGAATTTCTGGTTTCTTTATGAAGAAAGACCCTGGATCAAATAAATTCTGTTACACTCGAGTTCATTTTTTGCATCTTTTATTTGGCTTAGTGACTTTTAGCTGTTATACACATAGCGAAGCTTTGGTTTTTTTGCAAATCCAGCAAAACTTGCTTAAATAGCAGAGGTCAATATATACAGCCATGTGGCAACTATGGGAATTAAATTGAATATTTGTTATAACCATAATGATGGTGATTTAGAAGTTAGTTCATCTATTTGTTATGAGTGGGAAATTGTAGTGGCAAATATGTTACGTTTGTGTGCTAAGGAGGATACAACTGCTAATTGGTGCTCCAATTGGGATGAGGGTTCACTTTTGTTGCAAGTAAAGTCTTCAATTCAGTTCTAAATGGAAGGAGGATGGTATTTAAGGGTATTTAAGTCTTTTCTCCTATATTAACAGCAAAAACACAAGAAAATGGATGGAAGGACTATTTAATGAAACGAAGGCAAACCTCAAGGACATCTTAAATATTTGTATAGAAGTCAGGGACTACTTAGATAATTATGGCAAAGATAATGGACAAAATAATTATTTTTCCCCCTTGAATATCAAATGAAGCCCTCTATTTGGTCGTTGGAGCTTCCAAACCCATCATTTGAGTAATTGATTTCTGTTACAAATAATGCTTTACTCTGTATGAAGTAAGTACTATAGAACAATGTTTGAGATTTTAAAGTTTTGATGGTTTAACTTGGTAGTAGGGCTAGGATTTCAGTTGATTGAGTTAGGGAAGATTAGAGATTTTGTTTAGTAGGAATTTCATGTGAAAGGAAGCTGAATTATTAGATTTTGAAAGTTGAATTCCAATCTAATTTAGGGGACAATTTTAATAAGAAATATGAAATGTAGTGAGAGAAAAACAAAACAATGAAGGAGATGAGTTCTACCTCGTGATTATCCATGTTTGGTTTTTATAAAGTTTTTTTCTGGATTTTGAAAAGTATCTTTTTGTAGGTTAATTTGAGGTATGAAACTCTAATTATCTTGGCCATAGCAAATTAAAATCCTTGTGTGTTTTATGGTCAGTCCCAGAGTTGGATCCTTTTGCTCACGAAGGGATGAGATATATTCCTAGAGTGAAAATAGAATAACTTATCAATTCACGAAAGGGAGTGCTATTGTTCCCATGATTCTGTAGTTTATATCAATGTCTGCATCAAACTCCTCTCAGTATGTTTCCAACCATGATTAAGTCATTGCTAATGTCACATAGTGAAATATCCCGTGCTTGTGGATGGAGATTGATGGATTTCATACTGTAGGGGATGCATCTTGTTATTGGTGTCACAATTATATTATCAATTATTAATCATCTCCTTGTATATTTCCATTAAGTGGTTCTATTTCCTTTATACATTGTTCTGTTTTGTTGCTATATAATGACTGTCATTTGTATTGCCTGCCACACAACAAATTTTTGAAATTAATCATCTGACATATTGGAAGCCTGAAGATAGAGTAAAATTTGGAATGATGGATTTCACTGTTGTTGATTATCTTGAAAGTTAAGTGTTGCTTGGTCATACAATTGTGTAGTTGAATGGCAATGGATATCAACATCAAGGAAAGCTCTTCTCCTCATCCCAAATGGAGAAAAGTAGCATATGGAGGGATGCAACCTGGGTTTGATGACAATCACACTGATGATTCTTTTCTCGAAGATATGGTTATGAATGCTAGCGTTGTTAAAAGGGACCTGCTGAAAGTGATCCAAGACTCAGTTTCCATCTCTCAGTATCTATGCATTGTTGCACTTGTCGGCTTGGTTTGGACCTATACCCTGCAATCTATCCTTAATGAAAGTTCCCTCTTACTTCTTGATGTGGGCCTTCTCGGATCAGGTTTCCTTGTGCTGCTTTTAACCAGGGAAATGCTCTCTCTCAATCTTCTCTTCCATTATATCCTCAATATTTCTTTTTTTACGACGGGATTATATGTGTTGGCTCCAATCTATCACACTCTCACAAGGTCCATAAGTTCCGATTCTATTTGGGCAGTAGCTGTTTCACTTATCATACTTCATCTTTTCCTGCATGATTATTCAGGATCCGCAATTAGAGCTCCTGGGGCTCTGAAAAACCCGAACTTGACCAGTTGCATCTCTTTAAATGCTTCTGTTGTTGCCTCTGTTTTTATTGCATCTCGCCTTCCATCAAGGCTACAGGTTTTTGCTATAATGCTGTTTTCCTTGCAAGTTTTTCTTTTTGCTCCATTTGTCACTTACTGTATTAAGAAATACTCCTTTAGATTGCATCTTGTCTTTTCCTCTGGGTTGATGGCTGTTACCTTGGCATTTGTTTATATGTTGCACGGGTTACTTTTTGTGCTGTTGTTGGGTTTATTGGTGTTTGTAAGTGTGGTTTGTCCTTATTGGCTGATTAAAATTCAGGAGTACAAGTTTGAGATAAATGGTCCTTGGGATGAGGCTAAACTTTGTTTCGATATAACAGATTGAGATTATCTTGTATGAATCAATGAAAAGTCGAGCATGTTAATTTTCAATTTTTTTTTTTCTTCTCATGTCATTGTTTGATATACTCATTCTTAGTTTTTGCTCTTAGAACTACCAATGCAATCATTTTAGACAGGTTTTGTTGAACATTATGATTTTGCTCTGGCAGTGAGTCATTTCTTTTCCGGATTAGACTAGTCCTTTTCCATTTGGTCATTAGGTCAGGTGATCTCTTGGAATCATGGTGGAGTTTTGAACCTTAGGACTTTTTATGGCATTGTTGCAAGTAGCAGATTTTGAGCCAAAATTATGAGTAATCTTGTTGGTTCAAGTATGTAGCTACTTGTAATAAAGTTTGAAGCTTTTCCTAAGATCAGTTTTGTGGTATAAGAAAACTGTATTGCAAGTATAAATATTCATTGGACTGAGAAAATTATTCACAATTTTGGCCCAAATTCTGCTACTTACAAATAGCAAATGCCAAACAACCTATAGTTTTTTGAGTGTCTGGTGCTTGACACAACTCTATGGCTAGTGATTATGTTACTGGATGTTCTGATAGCAGCAGCTACTTACGCCTATGAGAAGAAAGTGTCATGTGTTACTTCTTTTCTATATATATATATATATATTGCAACTCGATTCAAAACTATATAATTTTGGCAGAAAGATATTTGCTATATTAATATAGTATTGGTAGAGCTACAATATTTAGTTATAATTTTATTTTACCGTTGTCATTTATAATTTTTTCACTATATCAAAAGAATTATCTACTTACACTCTGTAAATAGCATGTGTTTATTAGCGTACTATCTAATAATACTAGATATCTTATTAGATCAAATACATTGGAGAGACCTATCATATGCCCATAAATTTGAGGATTTTAATAAGATTTACATTTCTTTTACTAGCAACAACAATTTTTAAGGTACCTAACTTTTATGTAAAATATTGATTTACATATATGGTGCTTATTTTTTAACAAAGCTAAAAGATACAGCTGAAAACTCATTTGCAGGAGACAAATCAGAAATTAGAGTGCCAAAACAAGAACAATGTACTACTGTCCTTTGCAAAGCCTGAATAGCAAGCAAGTGATCGCAAGCAATCACCCTTAGGCAGGGCTACCGGTTCATTTTGAACCAAAATCGAATCAAAATTGAATGGTACTGTAGATGCATTGGAATTAGACTGGAATTGTCGGTTTAAAGTTTTGAATTGGAACCAGTGGTTCAAGGGCTGGTTAAGGTTCATGTGAATGTTAAAATTTGAACTTGAACTGACGGTTCCGGTTCGATTCGTACCGGAAATTTTCTATTTTTATTTTCAAGATGATAATCATTTATCTATTTTATACATTTTTAAAAGTCTCAATAATATTTTACTACATGATATACTTAAGATTTTTTTTTAAAAAAATACACTTTACTTTAAAAGATAAAAATCTAAAAAGTAAAATGATAAAAAAAAGAGAGAAATATTTAGTTTAAATCTATATTATTTTTAACTTTCTTTTTACCCTTTTAAATTATTTACTAAGTTTAAAATTACATTCTTTTGAAGCATTTTTCAAAAATTTTTTATAATTTATTTAATTAATAATCTATATTATTTTTAACTTTCTTTTTTACCCTTTTTAAATTATTTACTAAGTTTAAAATTACATATTCTTTGAAGCATTTTCAAAAAAATTTTTTATAATTTATTTAATTAATAACATTTAAACAAAATAAAGTGATAATTTATTTTGATTATTTTGTTAAAATTTAATTAATTTTTATTCTTATAGGGTGATGAGCATTGTAAAGTTTATTTAAAGTAAAATTTATCAATATTTCTTTTAAAATCATATTAATATTTTTCAAAAAATAAAAGACTGTAACGTCAGAACCGATTTTTTTTTTTTTTTTTTTAAAATATTATATATATATATTTTTTTTTTTTTTTTAAAAATATATATATATATATATCGCCGGAAACTGTAATTGGAACTGTCAGTTCATTGGAACCGCACCGGAATCGGAACCGGAACTTGAACCAGTGGTTCAAAGGCTAGTTCAGATTCAATATTTTAAAAATTTTGAACCAACTATGCTTAATCACTCTCAATGTGCATAGGACCTTCAAAGTTTTTATCCTTCAATAAGATCAAAACTTCTCATATGCTTAAAACTCCAGCCATCAATGCATTAGAAAGCCCAAAGACATAATTTTACCACCGTTACACCATCCTATAGAGTCCTTAACAACCCAACCTGCCCCTGCTACTTTAGAATTAATATTGAAGTATGCAGCAACATTAATCTTCAAGTGTTGCTGAGGTGGCGGTTCCCATTTTGTAACAAATTGCTGTTGAGTTGCTACACTACTCCGTCCCAGCCAAAGTCCGAGCCGCCTGCCATGCTCGAAGAAAGGTTGTAGCCTACAAAAGATATAACTTGGTCCTTCTCCTAACTGAGCCTACAAAAAATCAGAATCGGGATACCATTGTGCTTTATATAACTTGCTAATAAGTACACTGGGACGTGTTAATAAACGCCAACTAGTTTTAGCTAATATGACAAGGTTAAAATAATGCAAAGAACGAAACCAAATCCCTCCTTTCTTTCGACACAATGCCTTCCAGATAGACTAATGAATTCCAGACTCATCATTATGCCACCAAGATCAATTCATTGTAGTTTCCAGAGAAGCATAGATATTAGCCAGTAGAAGAAAAACTGCCATTAAAAAATTCGGAATAGCTTGGATAACTGTCTTTAATAAAATTTCCTTTCCAGCATGGGAAATAATTTTTGCTTCCAACCATTCAACCTGCCCCATACCTTATCGAGCACACGCCCAAAGACCTCCTTCTTACTACGACCTACAATTGCCGGCAAGCCCAATTACTTGCTTGGTAATTGAACACTATGCACCCCTAATTATTCACAGATAGTATCACATAATCAGAATTTACATTTTTACTGAAAAATATTCTAATTTATTATAATTAATTTGCTGTCTAGATGCTGCCTGGTAGAGAGAGAGGCAATGCTTAATGGTGAAGGCTTTCGAAATTTCAGCTTTAAAAAAATAAAAGGCATCGTCAGCAAAAAAATATATGAGATATCGACGACGCACCTCTAATAATCTAGACTCCATGAAGCTGACCACGCCTTTCAAAACTCTTTAGTAGTATAGATAGACTCTTGCCACAACTATAAACAAGTATGGAGACAATGGGTCCCCTTGTCGAAGTCCCCTGAAAGGAACAATACGACCAAAATTTTGACCCCCATGAGAGATATGATAAGACACAGTAGTAACCATATGCATTATTTTTTGGATCCACCCTTCCGCAAAACCCAATCTTCTCATTATAGCCTATAAGAAAACACACTCTACTCTATCATATTCTTTGCTCATATCAGTCTTAAGAGCTGCATATCCACCCTTCCGCAAAACCCAATCTTCTCATTATAGCCTATAAGAAAACACACTCTACTCTATCATATTCTTTGCTCATATCAGTCTTAAGAGCTGCATATGCCTTCTTCCCTTGTGTCTTTCTTTTGAGGTAATGATTAATCTCAAAAGCTACCATAATATTGTTTGTGATGAGACGTCATGGAATAAAAGCACTTTGATGTTCTGAAATAACAGAGTTTATCATGCGATTAGCCAGGACTTTACAAACAATTCTATTAATAACATTACAAAAGGAAATTGGTCTCAAATCCGTAATAGCCTCAAGATTTTTCTTTTTCGGGATTAATGTGATATTGGTATAATTCTCACTAAGAGTAGGCAAATCATTATTCAAACAAGCTACACAGGCTCAACAAATATCATCACCAATTATGGACCAAAAGAAGCGATAAAAACTTGGATTAAGACTATAGACTATCCGGTTCAGGAGCTTTGTTCAGGTGCATTCTAAAAGCTGCTGCTTTCACCTCCTCACATGTACAAGGCCGGTTTAATTCCTCATTTTGCTCGAAAGTCACCTTCTATTCAACACAATCATGAATCAGACATCTCTCCTTAATTCGAAGTAAAGAGAGTTGTGAAATAATTAGTTGTGAAATAATTACTGATTAAAGACTCTAAAAGGCCGGTTTAATTCCTCATTTTGCTCGAAAGTCACCTTCTATTCAACACAATCATGAATCAGACATCTCTCCTTAATTCGAAGTAAAGAGAGTTGTGAAATAATTACTGATTAAAGACTCTAAACTTGAATCCCAAGCTTGCCATTCACCCCTATCATTCTTCAAATGCAAGATCAGATTCTTCTTTCTCATAGATGATGCCATGGTATGAAAATACTTTGTTGGTGTCCCCACCGGCTAAACAAAATTGCTTGGCACGTTGCTGCCAATACATTCCTGTTGTCACAGTATCACCAAATATGCTTCTTCCTTAGCTGTGTCGTGCAACTGGACAGATTTGGCATGAAGCTTAAATCAATAGCGAGCTAACTGCTCTTTACACTGGCGCAACTAATCACAAACCGTGACTTACGTTTTTTACCCCATTGCTCCAAAAAATCCCCACATTTTCTTATCTGAGTCATAATATCTAGTCCATGCCCTTGCCACCATCTCTCCTCCACTAGTTGTGCAATATTAGTATCATGAAGCCAAGCATTTTCAAACCGAAAGGACTTGGGAACATATCGAATCACAGTGATACCCAGCGATCAAAAGATGGCTGAGTGCTCACAACATACAACATCCAAATTATAAAGCACAACGTTTTGAAGTATTGTATGCCTACAATCATTTACTAGAGCTCTATCAAGTCTCTCGCACACCCAATCTTGCAAATTTCGGCACCTTTCCCATGTATATCTATTACCAATACACCCTAAGTCATGTAATCCACACTCTTCTACTGTTCTTCTAAACCCTTCCACTAACCAGGTTGGTTGAACAATGCAACCCATTTTATCGCTAAAGGATAAAATATCATTAAAATCGCCTGCAATACACCAAGGCAAATTAAAAATTTGCTTTAGAGAGGAAAGAAGCAACCAAGACTCCCTACACCGAGATCGCTC